GGGCAGGGTGAGCCCTCAGCGCCGTGCTCCAGGCTGAGCCCTGCTCTGCCGGCGCGTCTGTCCCTCTCCTGCTTAGCAGGGCGCCCGCACGCTTCAGGACATTTGGGTGCATTTTGTTTAAATGGACCCAATTGCTGATCATTTATTTGTAGCGTCTGTCAGTGTTGCTCCTCACCACCTCCCTGATTTTGTGTTACTGGCGTAGTTCATCGCCCCCAGATACCTGATGAAAGGGTCCTCCAGCCTCCTCGGGAAGAGGTCCTCACCAGGGCCTTCCCCAGCTGCTGCTGCGGCTGCGGGGGCCCGGAGGGAGGAGCACAGTGAAGGTCCTGGAGTGTGAGAGGGGACAGCAGCACCCCAGCCGTGTGACAGGCTCCCAGCACACCCAGAAACCCCAGTGAGGGGCACGGACTGGGCTGGTTCAGACTCCACCAGGCAAAGCATGGAGTGTGGGTGGTGAACAGGCTGCCGTAGCGCTGCTGACCTGTGTGTTTCAGTCCTGTTCTCTAAAATCGTACCAGGGTTTGTATTACAAAGCTCAGGGCTGATGCCACCCTGCCTGACCTGTCTTACATGTTTCACCGTTCCCCTTGGACAGTGCTGTGGCCTTTGCCCTCCCACCCCTGCAGCCTTTCCTTTTTTGCAAGGGTGTTTCCACAGCTGAGGCTGGTGAGACGCCACGTCCCGAGGCGGCTGACACCAAGTCCTCTGCTCAGGTTGTCCTGAATCCTTCATCCTTAGCGATGCTGCAGTTACAGAAGGGGAAGTTGTCAGCAGCCATGTAACGTGCTGTCCTGCAAATATGAGATGACTTCTCCATCCCCAAAATGGCAGTCACGGCCTGCAGCGGGTGGCCTGGTCCCCTCTGGGAAGTGGTGCTTTGGAGTAAGCCCTGCTGTGAAATTGGTGCTTGTTTTAATCTTTTCATGGTGTGATGGTGTCAAACCCCGTCTGACAGCTCCTACTTAATTTTGTCCAGGTTGTCTGATACAGCAGTGTGCCCTGTTACTGGAATGTCACAGGATGTGACCGCA